CAAATTGCAAATATGATACTGTGTATTTGATTTTTGTTTGATTATTCTGGCCCTATATATACAGGCAATGGGGATTAACCCAGTTGAAGAGCAACAGCAACAAGAACGGCGGAAAACATGGTCATGGTCTGCTGTATTAGCTGCGCTCCAACATTGCTCCATCCAGACTTTGGGTTGATCATCATAAAACGACCTGTCAGCTTGGCGGACACCCCTAATCCGATGAACTTCACCGCCAATGGCAGCCAAAGAATCCATGTGAGTCACTCCGGAGTTCTGCTGTATGTCTAATCCCTTTCTGAAGCCCAGCAAAATGTCGAGCCTCCAACTTGCCACACACCACCTGAGCAAACTTCGAGATCAGGGGAAAACCGCTTTGGGCCCCAACTTGTGCCTGCTGTTTCTCGTTTCGTCAATGAAAAGGAGGTTGAACAACTTCTCCCTCCAGCACTATGACTAGACTATAAAGGAGACAATCTTTCGGCTCGTAATCTGAAGGGCCCCCTGCCAAATGTTTTCAGAAAACACTACCACAGTTGAAAGCTAACAGCTTGACCTCAAATCGAGAAATAACAGCATTGTAAACCCGGAAGTGTTGATACACCTCCATACACCTATGTCTGCCTACAGCATAGCACCCTCTGAGCCCAATCTTGAGAGGAAAAGGCCTGAGCTCTATCTTGGGTGCAGGTGTCACAAAAAGCGCCCAGCTATACCTGGCTCTGACGTACCTTGGCCCAGACCAGTGCGTAGGCCACCAGCAGCACCGGCGTCTCTCCAAAGGCTGCACTGGTTGTCATCAGAATGCCAACCAAAGCCTGCAAAGGCGGATGTGAGGAGAGGCGTTTGAAGGTGAAGGAACAGAAGGTGACATAAAACATACAAAAACCAGTCTGGCCCAGAAGGTGGTGAAGGAACACAACAAAGGAATCTGAAAGCGTTTAAAAATTTGGCGCTTTGATGTTTCAGAAGCATTGTTCTTTTGCGGATCAGATGGTGGACGCCTGTGGGTTTGAGTATTCGACAGATTCCACATATATCTACAGTACTTGCTGTAATTTGTAAGAACCATGGAGACAGTCTTTATCTATACTTGAAAATTTGGGACCTCTATATAGAACAACAACCGGTCTGATTTCCGGTCTTTTTCTGAAAAGACTGGTAATGGGTAGAGAGACTGGCGACCGCCAACTTGTGGCATGCTTGGTTCGCTTCCGTCTACTGAATCCCTCCGTTTTGGGGGAACATAGGAGGAAGGGGTGTCCCAGATCCCCCCCATCCCAACCGGGTAAGGTCCAAACCGCTGAAACCGGCTGAGGCACCACCAACATGGGCAGCTCTGCTGGGGTCTGGCGGCTGATGTACACCTGGAACCGGTCGTCAGGACCGACTGGAGAAACGGCGTGGACGTGACCGTGACCGGTCAAGATGAACACTGCAGGAAACGGACAGAAGCAGGAAATCGTAGAAATGGTGCAAAGTCCGGTTCATCCACAGAATGGTGGAGCAGGCACTATGAATTCATACATGTCCAACTGGAATGGCCATGGCGGGGCATGGGAAAGCTATGCGGTCCAAGGCCCTAGCCCAACAACTTGCCAGTTACAGTATAGTTACAGCATGTTACAGCTACCCTGCAGTCCAACACGTGAATATCGCCACCAAAAACGCGCCCAAAAGCGGCCAGAAAGATCCACCTTGAAGAAACCTGCTCAATCTGACCAGCTCCGACATCGTAAGACAGTCTGAACGGACGCAAAGGAAATGCTGTCGCCGAGAAGCCCAAAGATTGCGACCGTTCTTGTCAATCGAGGACAACCTTGGCATCGCTTGCGACATTGACAGACGAACCGGTTCCCGTCGAATGGTCCCAACGGAGTGGTGCTGGCATGGTGGCTGCGAGAAGAACGTCTATTTCGAGAATGCCCTGTACGGTCTTTGAGGGTTCGGGAAAATGACGTCCCACGGTCAACAACACAAAAGAAGCAAGGAAGCCATCATTAAGCACACTTGTTTCAAGAAGTCACCAAACTCACATGTCACATGGTTTCCAAATTGTTATTATTGTCCTCCAAACTCAGGAGATTCGACAATTTGGGACCTAGCAGCAGTGTCGAAATTCACTGACTTGACAATAGGTCTTAAGATCTGCAGCACAATTTTTGAACAAACATCACCCTGTGTCACTGTATCATCCTGTCTTGGCCTGCACAAGAAACTCCTGAAATCTCCTGTGGTTGCTGGCCAAGATCAGATTGATATAGATTGTTAATATTTGGGTCTATCATGGTCTATCCAATACCAGGGCCCAGTGGATGATGATGTATAGGTACTTGCAGGCCTTTCTCTAAACAATCACAGTGATCATTGTCCACCGAGCCTAGTTGATATACATCGATACAATCATTGTTTGTTTCCGTGGCTCGCACATCTGCGCAATGAAAACAGGGTCGAATCCAATCGACCAGTCAGTGGGGAACCCAAAAAACGGCCCGATACAGCACTGGTGGAGCACCGGCAGCGGAGACGGCGATGCGCCAAGAGGCCATGGAGACATCTCCGCGCTAAATCCACCTTCCAAGAGCGCCTGAGTGGCGCTGCACCATGCGCAGTATCCGCTTGCGCCAGGCGTGAAGGGACAGAAGACTCTACGACTCGAGCAATCCTCTTCTAAATCTAACAACCCTCACCTGACAGGTGGAGCAAAAAAGTTGAAAAACGCTGTAGCGTTTGTAGCAAACGTAAATTTACCCCAGCCCTGGAGTCCATGAAAAATCCTAATTGTCGAAATCCCAATTCGTCAAATGAGGGGTACCCTGTTTAACTGACTCCTTCAGGTTCCCTGCAACAAAAGGTCAAACCTTTTTCTATATATACCTGTTCTTGTTTAGTGGGGAGACCAACTCCCCTAAAAAGGTGGTGGGATGTAACTATTTAAGTTCGGACATCTTCACAATAGATGTGTGTTTTGGTATGTTGGGCCATCAACCAACAAGATATGTGAGTCCTGGTCGCACCTGTGTCGGTTCACAAGATCAGCGGTATTGACCAGTGAGGCAAGCTGACCCAGGTTTCTCCACATAAATCAAAGAAGCCACCAAGAAACATTCAAAAACTCCTGGCAGAATCGGAAGTTGCAGGGCCTCTAATTGTTAAAAGTTGGTTTCTTGGATCCCGAAACATTGGTCGACGCACATCAAAAAGCCATCTCCACCCAACGCCTGGATGCCGGCCAGGGCCAAAAGCATCAACGCCTGCAACTTCGACAAGGTCAGGTTTCAATCTCACGCCCTTTTGGAGCTCCTTTTGTTCCGCAGATTCCACAAATCCGATTTCGCCAGCGGATTCCAAAGCCCGACCGGATTCCAAAGCACTTCATACCGACTTAGTGAGCAAGAACCTAAATAAATGGTGCATCGAATGTGTGCCCAAAGACCTGCTTCGCAGCTGATGCTGGATGATGACTTGGGCGTGGTCTGTCGCCCAGCATCACCACACCCGTCAATCAACACCAAAGATCAACACTTCGCAAGCAGCTTGATGGGCCTCTTTGATCTTTTTGAATACCAATATCATTCTGAATATCCCATGGCCCTGAATATGTTTCAGCTTTTGAATCTCTTCTCTCTTCTCAGGACTTGCAAGCTCATCGCCTTTCATCCCAGCGCCACCCGCTGCCTTCGCCACCCTTTCCACCAACCCGCAGAAACGCCGCGCTGCCTGCGGCGTGAACGCGGCGAAGGCCGCGTGAGGCTCAGAGAGGCGATAGACCGTCAAGCCCAGCGCACGGACCTCGAAGATTGGTGATCCCAACGCCGAGAAGGTGCGGGATACACATGGGATGGGTTCACCAAAACACATCCAGCAAATCGCACTCTTCAACTCCCTGGCTTCTATCCAACGTGTTCCTTCATGTTCCTTCCAAGACCACATCACTCCGAATCACTCAAAATCAGACCACTCCAAAAAACAAATGGGAGGACCATGCATGCAATTTACTTTGAAATCCCGTTTTCATTGGGTTTCACGCGTTTCAAGGCCCGTCGAATCATTCCGCTCCATTGCGATTTGCTCATCTCCAAGATGCCAGGTCGATACCTGTAATCCCCGTGAGCACCCGCAAACGCAACGAGGTCAAGGTCTCAGCCGCCTGCGAACCACACGGTGGGACCGACCGGGAGATCGCTGCGCGGTGTGTTTGCTCGCTTGGGCTCGGCTGGAGTTGGATGATCCGAGTCGCGTGATTTGTAACAATGACGAGGTATGGAACAAACCGGTATGGATCTATGAACTCTTAGGTTGAGATACGGAAACATGGACAGTCCTGAGGTTAAAGATGGTTGGATCAACTTTCCACTCTGGAAAGGAGATCAGGCCCCAGGAAGGATTGCTTCCTCCATGGACCTGACCCTCAAACGTACGACCAGAAATGGGTGGCAAGCTTCAACAAATCTGAGTCAAAACGTTTGACATTTAATTAGACTATGTCGTAAGGATTTGCTTACGGAGACACTTACGCAATGCTTATGTGCCTCAGGTGTTGGTTCACGCGAGTTTGCAATTCCTTGTGCAAACGGAGACGTCAGCCACACCACAGCGGCAGCTTACAAGTACACGATGTCCGACTTTACTTACGCAACATGTGCTGTCAAACATCTGCTTACTTGAGAAAGCTCGCGACCCGACTACAAAGGTTTTGACCCGACCGCTGATCTGAGTAATTCGTCTTCACTGTTGAAAGAAACCCCAGTGAATGAACAGCCTACATCAGTCAAAGGTAACAAGTGTGATGGTCCAATATGGTGATTTCATCCGACCATATCAGACCCCAATGAATTACGAGCCTCCAGTCTCCAACCCCGGTTGTGGTCGAACAAAACCACCGGTTGCCTCAATTCCACAGTCACACCACGGTGGAGCTGCATCAATTACCGACCTTTTGGATTGGTAGATCCCAGGAAAATGACCTCAAAACTCAGTACCCGATCCGCCAGCGCCACTTTTGTTCAAATAAAAAAGCTAAGTGCGAGTTGCCATTGGGCACCTCTCTCGCAGGAACTGATCGCTGTCTGCCGACTGATAGGATCTGGCAGTAGCTTCATTTGGGGCATCTCATTGAAGAGGTAAAGTGCCACTTGCCATTGACCAGCCTTCTCACAAGCACTCATCACGGCATTGTAGCCTTAGACGACATTAACATGTCCATAGCCACATTTGTTTTGTGTGAGCACATGTGAAGTGCTGTCGTCACAGCGATTTCCCGTCTCTCAAGAGGAAGAGGATGGAGCCATACTGAGCTGTACTCAAATCCATCCTTCTTCAAACACACGAAACCACGAAACCTGGGTCCTCGTCGTCGAGATGTTTAGACCCCGAAATCTCACCATATCGAACAATAATCATGAACTCCGCCAACATACTGGGGTCATTGAAATCGAGCACCTCCCTGCGGTCCAGGCCATGAAAAAGAACCAAGTCATGAAGACAGTGTTGTGTGCGCGAGAACCTGGATGTGTTCAATGTGTTCCGCAACGCTGCCATCTTTCTGGGCCCGTGCTCATCCTAAAAACAAAGCAGTATATAGTACAGCATAGTAGATCAAGTAAAAAATGAAAAGAAACATTCCCAAACACTCCATATATAGCATATGTTATACCTACATTGGGGTGGTTGAAAAGGGGTCCCATGTAAACAACAAGTACTAACAAGAACTATAGCAATGTGACCACAAACTCAACGCAATGAGACAATCCCAAACACTCCACGGGACTGGATGCTTCTTGACATACATTGACCCCTGCTAGTTTCCAACCACCCCCAATGCAAGTGAAATACAGCCAGTCCCATGGAGTGTCTGGGAATCAATTTCTCCAAAACAACTCCCAGAAATTCATCCTTGCCCCGCCGCTTCGGCTTCGGCTTCAAACACCTGGACGGTGCGAGTGACGAGGCTTCATCTCCCCCCCTGGCACACCTGCGAAGCCCAGCCCGAAGTAAGTGATTCAGTGTGAAGAGCCCAAAGCTCGGACTTTTGGACACCCAACAGTTTTTGGACACCCATGGTATCCTCTGGTTTTGTAAGTACAAAACCCATGTTAAGTGTCCTGTAGATCTTCTTCCGCGAAACGAACCGAATGGGGACGAAGTCGGGACGAAGTCTCACCGCATGACGCTGCAAGGCGCTAATGACGCTGGGCTCCAGCTCTGCATCTACGATGGCCTCGAAGGTCCTCCAGGCATGCTGCCACTGACGGCCGTTCTCACAGGCACTCATCACGGCGTTGTAGCTGATCACCTCATGGCGATTGGCGGTGGGAGCTGCAACCGGCTAGGTGGGCGATACGGGCGATACGGTGCAAGCGGCTGATTTGGATGGATCAGGTGTGATGAATAAAACATAATGAAACCATAATAAAACCATACAAAACGCTCTCATCGGATGGATTAAGTTTGAGAATGAGTTGCTCCAAGTTGGAAATGGTGGGCGGATGTGGGCGGTAGCTTTTGAGCTGAACAAATATTGCAAGGACAATATTGAAGTTGTTCAAGTGTTTATACAGTGTACTTACTTGCAGTACAGTACCGGAATCCACACTCTGACCAGGCCACATGCGGCGTGACTCTCACTTCAATCATGTTCTCGAGCATGATCAAAGCAGGCTGCCATTGTCGGCCTTTCTCAAAAGAGCTTAGTACTGCACTGTAGCTTATCACGTCGGGTTGGTGGCTGGCAAGTTGCATCGCATGGAAGATGCTCAATGCCGCTTGCCATTGCCGACCCTTCTCACAGGAACTGATGATCGCATTGTAACTGATGTTGTTCGGCTGGATGAGGGAGCTGACCATGAGAGCAAAGAAACTCACTGCTAACTGCCATTGCCCGCCCTTCTCAAAAGAGCTCAGGAGCACACTGTAAGAAATTAGATTTGGCCGAATCAATGACTTGGCCATGGCCAGAAACAAGTTGAGTGAAAGCTGCCATTGCCCGCCCTTCTCGCAAGAACTCATCACTGCGCTATAGCTGACGACATCAGGCTCAATCTTTGATCTTCGCATGCCCTGAAACAAGCACAATGCTGCCTGACGTCGGGCTTGAATTCCGAAAGACCCCAGTGATCAGTTCTCTTCTGTGAAAACTCTGAAACAGTAGATATGAAAGGGTTCTCCGAGGATGACAGCACAAGAAAAAGCCTCTGCGTCTTGCACATGCACCCCGTGTGAGGAGACAGCGTGAAACAACAATATTTCACATCCGAGGAGGAGGTGGATGGCTAAGATTCTGGAAGCAGTGCGTACTTGGACAGCACAATCCTTCACCGTCTGAGATATATTACCCAAGTATTTCAAGGCCGACACCATACACTACCGACAACTTCCTGCCTGCCAATGCTGCTTGACTGCACTAATGGTGGTATTGTAGGTGATCACATCTGGCTGCAGTTGGGTCTTCATGTGGAGCTCCTCAAAATGACTTAACGCTTGCCGCCAGTGAGCAGATTTCCCGTACGCAGCCAAGAGGGCATTGTAGTGTATCACCTAAGTGCCCAGTCAAGACCTTTCACTACGTCACTAAGTGCTCGTTGCTTGACCCCACCTTGTGCCAGAAAAATGGCATACAGTCCCGCTGGGTCCCAAACAGGGCGGCTTGGGCTAGCCCCACATGCATCTGGTTGAAAGGGTGTCTATAATATGTTCCAATCTTTGGTCATCAAAAGGATTGGGTGGGCAGCCATTGGCAGTCAATAACTATTTGACTATTGAACTGATCAAAACCAGTTGACAAGGTCCCTACTATGAGGAAATCCACCTGGACGGGGGAATGCTGGGGGTTGGTGGTCCGTGTTGGTTCCCACACAAGCCATCCCAACTTGGTGCCAAGATTGGAGGTCACTGAGGCCCAAAAACAGCTGCCAAGGATCGCCAACTTTCAGGCGGAAGGTGGGCAGCGCAGCAAAAAGCTCCTGGGCCAAGCACCAAGAGTTGGACTTGGCACCTGAAGCGATGAGTTGGATGTGAAGCTGAGCCGGGTCACACAAGCCTAAAGGATAGCTGCTTTTGCTGCTACCAGTATCTCAGAGAGTGCTGCTTGGAACATGTTAGCAGCTTGGAACATGAGAGCAAACACTGTCTTTGGTTGAGATTGCAGGATAAAGTACACACGTTCCTTGCACATTCAGCCAAGCCATGGGGTGTGCGGAACACCCTATCCTTCTCATACTCCTTCTCATCTAATCTATATAAATCTATGTATTCTTTCTGCAAGCTTGGATTGGGGGTGTCTGAGCAGCCTGAATGATTCAAACAGGGCAAGCAAATGTGACTGTTGATGATTGAACCGTATAGGCTACAAACCTAGGATTGCTACCTTCCTCTTACAATTAAGTTCTTACTATCTAGTGTTGAAATATCCAAACACCGAAGACCATTACTTAGCAACAAACATTGACAAGCATTGCATGAACACTGCCTGGGCCCGAGGGTATTTCTCAGTGACCATCAAAAACACACCCACCATCTGTTGATCCTTGAAGCAAGAAACTCTCTGTTCGGTCTGTCGCCATTGTACAGTGCCGCTGATAGGGCACGGTGCATGGAACGCTTCTGACTTTAAGCTTCCGGATCTGAGAGATCATTCGCCCATGGCTGTCAACGAGTCACCCCCCAGTGATGGCCGTCTTCTTCGAGTTTGGAATTGAAGACTCGCAGAAAACAATCGGAGGATGGTCCGGACGCCTCAGCATCTCATGACCCTTGAGCCAAAAGACCCGGAAAGGCAGGCAATGCGGACACCAAGTCTGAGGATACAACGGACTGTCAACAGTCCTTCCTCCCGCAAATGGATAGGTGGACAAGCTTGTACCGAGACCCGGTCTCACCCCTGTTTGGACTTGATTTAGATAGAGTCACGTGTTGGATGGTTGGTTGGCACTCTAAAGCGGGTCCAACAATTGGTTGGTCCTTCTTCATGCCGATGCAAACATGCCTCAATCCACAAAAACCAACGCACTGCGCAACTTAACCAACGCACTGCGTTCAGTCGAGCTGCCTGGGCGATATCTGAAAAAGAAACACACATCGGGCCTCTGGCCAAAGATGATCTAGGAGTTCCTCCAGGACGTTGTAGACATAGAAGAACACAAAGACCAGGGCAATATAGCCTGATTCTGCGCAACACCATCTGCACAGTCGTGAGTTCTCCTTACAACCAATATCAACTATATAATGGTCGTCCACTCTCCACAGATTCTTAAGGACTATGAAAAAAGGAGGGAATCAAACGATATGCTCCCAATGTAGTGCATCTAGCCAATGCAAGCAATTGGTCAGTGGCTTGATTTTGACGTCCCCGGGTCCCCCATGATAGAAATGACTCCTGCAAACATCCATCCTAGATTCCCAACAAGCATGAATGAGCAAAACCACAAACATATATATATATATATGTGAATGTGTATTTCAAGAGGGAGACCCCCAACCCCAAATTGGTCTATTTCACTTCTTCTCGGTTGCTCGGCTTTCCTCTTCTCGACCGAAAGAGACCGAGGCACGTGCCCAGCCGTGGGCCACGCCGCAGCCGCTGCTCTCGTAGAGCGACGACTCGGAGCCCTTCACGTCGTCCTGGCGGAGGGTGAACGAGACGCATCCGGGACTGGAAGACGAGCACCTTTCATTCGGGTTTCATGGGATAAATCCTAATACATCTAGTATATGCATGTATACATCTTTTATATATACATATTCTATATAATATATCTTCTACATTCTGTAATGGTCTGGCTTCCTTCATACTATCCCAGTTTCCAGGACAGGTTGTTGCAGCTTTGTCACAAGCTGAGCCAGGATCGTCTTCTCCTCGCGGTATCTCCTTGAACAGCATCTACCTGACGGACCAGTAGGCAGCAACACCATCGCATACCAAAGTTGTTTTGTTCCCGCAGAATATCATCAAGTGGTCATCGGTGTTGTGAGACGTTAAACCTGAACAGTGGTGCAACAGAATTGCTTCAAACAAATACTGCAGAAGAGATGGATTGAACGATGTCAAACTTCTTGTAAAATAAGTTATCCAGCTTGCACTAGCAAGTTGTGATGTCATTTAACTCATCCTTTTCTCCAAGAAAAACACATCACTGGATCACCAAGCATATCCAAGCGAGCTTGGGTCTTTCCTTCTGAGTATAAATATCATGCCGACTAACGAGTTGCTAAAACAAAAAACAGAGCGGAGGAAACAAATCTAAAAAACAACAAGGGCTACATGCTTTACAGGTCATTCTTTGGTATGACCCATGGATCACCTTCCTATAGTGGGTTGAGAGTAGATGGCACAATCCCGAAGGTCGGTGGTTTATATGAACCCTTATATAAAAGACATCTTGGGGTGCCAGTGCCATCTACTCTCAATCCACTGTAACATTTATGGCCTGCCAAGATCGGTCATCTCTGGCACATCAATGATGAAGGCAATGATTCACAGGTACAACTATAACTATATGACTAGAACTCATAAGGGTTATTCTGTATGCAACGTGAGCATCCTAGTCATATCATCAAGACTACTCCACGGAAACAACAGCAACAACACAAACAAAACAAGGTACATAACGGTGTACCAATCGGACATTTGCTCATAGTTGCTCCCTTGAAGTGCTTACAGAGCCACCAAGACAACTGAACAACAATTCTCCCAGATCTGTCTGAGTCGCCGGTTGCCGTTTCAAATTGTGTGGCACAAACCTCTGAACACTCTGATTTCAAAGAAACGGACCTAGCCTAGCCCCATTTGCCACAAGTGGAGTTGTTGTCGCCAAACGCTCTGCGGGGCAATTATCAAATGTACACGACTGCTGCACAAGGTACATCTTGAACAGCAGCCTGCAGTCGTTGCACAGCAGCCTGAAGACGATGTGCAGCAGCCTGAAGACGTTGTGCTCCTTCCCGTGCGAGAAGCCTTGCACTGGCGGGACGTTTTTGTTGGTTTGTTGGTTTGCTTTCCTGGTGACACAAGTGTCCTGAACCGGATGATTCCTATGGCTCGGACGCTTCAATGACTCCTGAGCTGTCCATGTCCACAATCAAAACATCTTTCAGTTTGTGGTTGTTTGGGCGCAGAATCAAACATCAGGACAATCTGGCGGTGACTGGGACAGTCCTCACATCATGTGGGTCTGTATTTCAAAAGGGGTGCTCACAGCATCCCCTCACCAATCGCTTTTGGTCTAGTCTTCTTCAAGGGGGTGAGTCTTCCTAGTCCAATACACACTATATACACACACGCATGCATGTGGTCCATCTAAAAGCGAAGTTCCTGCCCTGCTCATTGGGCCCAGGAGAGGCTCAACCCGGGGCGACATGATCGCGGTCATCGACAGACTCCAACAGAGCACCTCTAGCTATACTATAGTAGCTTCTTGTGTCCATTGTTGTTCTGCTGTAACCTTCAATGGCCCAGTAACACGGAGATCATAATGTTCACTCCCATCGGCATCGCGTGGAAATCATGACTCTTGGCTCACACCACACCACTGAACAAGGTACCGTCAATCAGCAGCCCGACCCTCCTCGCCGTTCTCCCCTGCCTCCGCCTCGGCGAGGCGCGCGGAGCTGAAGCTCTTCCACACGTACCTGGCGGAGAAGAGCCACACGGCGAAAGGGCCTGCAAAGGGCGTGACCGTCGAGTTGAAGTGAAGGCCATGCGGTACTCCTGTGCATATTTGACCTGGACCCCCCAAACCACTAGCCTATACAGGAAAAGATAAAAGGGTCTTCTACCATGGGTCAGTTCTCAGGGTCCATGCTATGTTAGTCTGCGGGCTGAATTCTTCAAATCTTGGACGGGCCGATGGACAATGAAAGAACACTCCAGCTCACTGGAAGTAGAACATGGCCTTGGGGAAGACGACATTCCTTTTCAAAAATAAGGATTTTGATGGGTTTTCCACTTCCATGTTATTGAGCGTGAGAGCAAAGATGTTCCATGTTGTAATATGTTGCAAACCTGAAGGGTTTTGGGGGGGGCATATTCGTCTGCATTGGTTCTACCGGTCCACCGATCCACCATCCCCAAGGAGTGCGGAGTCTCTCCATGGCAGGCAAAGCTTTTCTGCTGAATGATGGAATCTGTCTAAGTGAAAACATATATATATATATGTATATATAATATATATAATATTTGTACTATACATATAACATTAAATGGAGGAACATGAATGGAGGATGAGTATCATTATCAAAGTAGAAGGTTGATGAAGGTTGCTCGTTGGTGGTTTACGAGTCACCTTTGCTCGGCATGACCCATGAATCACATGACCAACTCCGGCATCACCCGGTTCCCTGCTCACCCCTGACATCTCAGAAAGGCCCGCCGTTGGGCGGATCGCGCACAAGAGGAGCAAGGGCAAGGTGAGCAGTGACGGAAAGGCCAAACAGTAGGACAAGAGGACGAGCACCCCCAAGGTGCGCAAGATCCTGATGGAAAACCGAGGGATCAGGCGATTCACACAAAACAACTACTACTGTTGGGTCAATGCTGCATGGGCTTCCTCATCATGTTGAGGTCTTGAAAGATCGGTCGACATGAACAATTGCAGCTTCGCCCCGTTGATTCTGCAGTGGTACTGTAACCTCCGCCGTGGTGCCGGGATGTGCCAGGTTTTAGTGGCACCGATGCGGACCGAGGCTCAAGTGGCAACATAGTGGATACAGTGCTTAGGTGCCCAGTAGAATCTGTTCAACACAGCACAGTTGGGGGGGGGTTCGGAAACTATCAAAACACCTCATCAAACCGGAACTCCTAGCTTGCCATGACCGAAGACGGTCCTCGTCAAGATGTCCGAAGATTGCATCACCGTTGAGCTGGAGGCCTGCGCCGCACGCGGCGCCATCCCAGAGATGGAGGAGGTGTTATATATCCAATGATGTCCGTTGAGGGAAAATAGAGGGGTCGATCCCAAACTAGCAATATACCCATTGGTGGTTCACTGGGGGTGTATCCCGTCTATTGATCAAAGCCACTAGCAAAAGGCCCAGCATGGTGCTATCCCATCGATTCCCATCCTGTCTCATGACAAGTCACGGATATTCAAGATTGATCAAAGACTGCCCTTGGATATTCGGATGCTCCTTCACGCCACGCGTGATTTTGCTCGGGATTCCTGGAATCATCAATGTCATCATCAAGATGTATGGAAATTGCTCCTTAGTGGACAGGACTATGAGACAAGAAACCATATTTTTTTGTGAGTCTTATGCAGTCCATTGGTCCATCCACGACAAAAACGGTTGAGAATGGTATATTGACCATCCTTGGTCTCACATACGTACATCCCAAGGATCTCTACGTACAGAGGATGCGACCACGGATTATCATCACCTGGCTGCTTCTATGTGCTTCTTGGATGCGCGAAGAGTAACATTCGTTTGGAGCTTGTGCCCCTACGTCCTTCACCAATAACTATATAGGGGCATGCGGCATCCGTATATAGGGTTTATCGAAAAGAGAGTGGACTTCTTAAATAGCTCCAAAGAGATGTCCGAAACATCACGAGCATCGGCTGTCCAGGCTCTATCTATCCCCTACTCGTGCTCTCAACTTTACTTTCTCCCTTTCCAAACCCAATTTATGGCTTTAGCCAAAGAAGCTGTGTTCGTCTTTGGACTATCCCAAAAAGAAGGCACCAACAGAACGGATCCCAAATTCTTCCAACCCTTCCAACCCCGGTTTCCGAAATAGACTTCACCCACCCCGGGACCGGCACCGCACGGTCCACTCGGGCGCGTCGCTGGTCCCCCCCACCGAGGTGGACTTGGCCATCGTGGGCTCTGAGGAGCGACCTGCGAAGGCTGAAGGCGAAGGAGCATGTCCTTTGTTCACTTGGTTCAAACTTCCTAGGGGTTAGTTCCTAGGAGTTTCCTATTGGTTCACTAGGATCCATATGGTTCAGAGGATCCAGGACAGTTTCTTAGGCCAATATACGTTCAGTCGATGTTCAGTCGGGGTCAAT